TTTAACGCGTTTGATGTAAAATCATCTTTTTATAAACTCAGGTAAACTTAAAACACTATTAGGATATCTAGTATAATGTATAAGAGGTGCTGATGTACTTTTGATCTTATATATTGAAAATACTGTAACTATGTAGCATATTTTTAACTATAGTCTTCCTTCAAAGAGTGTTCACTTGAAGCTCCTGCCTATATTTTAAGTCAATAGGTAAAAAGTTCAACAACATGTAGTAGGCTTGAAGTGTAGCAAAATACCTCCTTTGCAGCAAACCTGCAGACTAAACTAATTTAAATTTCTTATACTAAATATATCCTTTGGGCCGTGGAAAATTTGTTTGTTTGTTTTATATATACGTATATTTATAATATTACAATAACTTTTTGACATTTGAGTTTTTATGGGCTTTCACCCGTCCAAGCCACTGATTATTGCATATTGTACTATTTTTATGCACTGAATTTAAGCTACTATAAACGACGCCCTTGTCTTAATTGGAGTTAAGAAACAAGTTAAATGTCTTAATTTGTAAGATACTCTAACTGAATTGCAATTATAGTAATACGAAGTGTGCTACAATTCAAACGTGACACTTAATTTAGTGATTACTGTCCTGAGAGCCAATTAAATGGAATTGCTTGCTGAATACACGAGACTGTAATATTGCGAATGGTCAAGCTGTAACGTAAGCCCTGACGTGTTAAGTTTATGCCAAATAAGGCGAACAACCCAGATAGCAAGGATTCAGATATGATAAACGGTTATTTTGTAAATCCGCCGAATCTGCATACATCCATTTCTATGCCTTAAGCCATTGGGAGTAGAATTTTCACCACAATACAGCACCTCCTTGAAATGAATCTTGAATGTCCAATTTTGCTCGCTTGGATGTTGGATAATAGCTTTGATTGCACACCATACGAGCTTCGACTGTATAATATATAACAGGAATGTTATCAGCTCCGTTGGATTATGTTTTATTCAAAACCATTATTACCTAAATCTCAGTCACAGACTGCCCTCTAAAGTTCTTTCATCTGGTTATGATGAAATCGATTAGATTCCGTTATAGATCATCGGCTAACGTATTTACCCATTAACGCAAATAACGTGTAATTTTTCTACACACTTCTACTCGTCACATCTGTTATGTATTTCAGATTTACAGATGCTACAACATCAAACTTATTGAGACATACCCATACACTTTCTATAACTCTCTAATAAACTCAGTCAAAAAATACTTTTATACTTTAGGGTGGGGCAGGGAAGTATCCCTAATTTTGAAGGTACATTAAAAACAACCAAAAATGTTAGAACCAAACTTTTTATTGAGATTAAAAGGTTACATCTGGGAGTTTATTTTAATATAACTTAACTTGGTTTTTAACAGCATATTCTGCAAGTGGTGTCCCTAATCTTAAATGCATTGCTCTATGCTGGTTCTGGAGTTCATAATAACTTTGTGAAGCATTTGATGTGGAATGTGGCAAAATTCAAGGTGAATTGCATCCTTCAAGGTATCTAGGGTCTTCCCTTGAACTACCCTAGGCTTAGCATCACTCCAGTAGAGCACCTTCAGCTTATTTACCGCTCCAGAAATATGGAAGTGTGCCTCGTCACTAAACAAAACCCGAGCAGCATGAGGTAGTCCCGCAAGATTTCACATGCCTGCATTCGTTATAGCCAGTCCCGTTGTGTGAGTTCTTGAGCAACTACCCTCTTGTATAGATGGCGATGTAGGTCCTCATGGAGGATACGAGGCACAGTACGATTAGACGACGCCAGCACGGATGCATTCTTACAAGCAGAACTTTGATGAGACTGCAAAATCGATCTTCTGACAAGTTCAATGTTTTCAGGACTCCGGACGGTTCTTTGAGCTCCAAATATCCTTCGCAATACACCACCACATACATGAAAGTAATTCACCCACACCAAATTGGAACAGCTTTGCGACAGGCCACCCGATAACAAGTTCGCAGCCAACGCTAGCTGCACATCAACAATAGACTGATTTTTGAAAAAAAAAATACATCTCGAGTGCAAAAGCACATTGCTCACTCGAAAAAGCCATGTCTACTACTGAAAGTGATATTCTTAGAAATTCCCAAAACAAAAGCTTCATATGAGTCTAACTCCATTCCTCCAGCACACGCCCACTACTCACAGTGCCATCTTAAAAGTAGGGATATTTCCCTGCCCCACCCTGTACTTTTCAATCAAATGGCGACCATACAAAGTAGGTATTTTAAGCCAAGTATGAATGGAGATGAGTGTAGGATGGGGTGGCGTGATCTTGTAGTCTTGTTAGTAACTAAGGCCGACATATTCCTTAGACACATCTGTTAATCAGACAGCTAATGGCAACTAAGGGACCTACAGTTTATAGTAGAATCCGAACCAAATTTTTCCTTGGTATATACGAATTGGTCTAATTATCAGGATAGCACTGCAGGTGGTCGTAGTACTCACTCGTGCGGACGTTAATCCACACCAGGGAGTATCGCATCCACAGTGTATGCCTATAAATATCCTTAATTCGTGACCTCCTAGTAGCTGGATTTAATATATTTTTCTTTAAGTTTCCATATCAAGATGTTTGCCTAATCTTTCTCTTTTTGTATCTCAATTAGTTAAGGCAAAGGGTCATGGATGTTGATTAAATGAAAATTAATTAACAGATTGTATTAATTCGCTTTACGGGTGAATTTAAGTTATAATTTCACCACAGTTTAGACAACTAACTGAAAAATAAACTGATGTGACTATAGTCAATTTTAGCTTAAAGAAACCCTAGTTCAATAAGCAATATGACAGCGAAAATAATAACAAATTAAGTTTTATTAAACATCACACTACACATTAATGGATTATAAGCCTACAATTAAAGGATTATAGATGCGTATGTATGTTTTAGTTTTTGAAACAACAGTTCGTTCACTAAATTGTAACATACAATTCATTTTAAGAAGTTAGTTGGATGAAAATACAATAACATTCCCCTTGATGAGCCCTCGATTCATATAATCTTGTAAAGTGGAAAACAAAATGGCGTGTCTTGTAACTGATAATTTGTTAAAAAGTTATGAACTAACACAAAGTTCATACATCACGGGTTGTAGTTGTAACAAATATTTATTTTAGTTTCGTGTCACTAATGCCCAATTATATATTTGAAATGTTTTTATCGTCAAATTACCTTCTTTTTTTAAAATATAAATAAAAAAATAAAATTTTACTTGTAAGAGCAATTTTCCTTTTATGCCCTTGATGTTGCACGTTTGGTAAAACTGGCACATACTTGGAAAACAATACTGTATGTAAGAGATTATACCCAACAACTATCTTACATAAAAGTGATTTTGTCTCATGAATACTCTCTAAGAAAATGCACACATTCAATAATTAAATTTGTTAAAGAAATTTAAGAAAGATTGTAGTTTTCGTTAAAAACAAATACTTGGTGTAAGGTTCTTTTTACCTTCGTTGACTTGATAAGTTTACAACTAAAAAACTACAAACTACGAACTAGGAGACAAGAAAAATCGAGGTGTTTACTAAAACAGATTTTATTTTATGAAAACATTATTCCTTAAGAAACCACTGAGGTTCCAATCCGTGTTGCCACAAAGTAGTAAATTTCCCGCAAACCACAAGCCTCAACACAATTACTGACATAATCTTCGAAGCGTCGCGTTGTCTCTCAATCTTGGCAGCTTTGCTCATAAATCTTTTTTGACTTTAAATAAAGCTATGATGTACTCTTACAAACATTACTAAGCGATTAAAAAAATACCCCCGCTGCAGCAAACCTGTGTTTTTTTGTGTTTTTTTAAATTTTAATAGTTTAGCAAGATATGAAAGCATTTTCCAAATTTGATCAAAATATAAACAAACAAACTACAACACTTTACTTATTCTCCATAACAATAACATGGGAATTTTAAATTTTAAATTTTTTTGAATTTTCTCCGTAACCATTAGGTACATAAAAACGCTTCAATATACTAAAGTATTTGTTTTTCTTAAAGCTCTATAAAATTGTTTGGATAAATATTGCTAAATTTTATGTTTGTTTTTTGGGTCAAAAATTTACCCCATAAAACAACCCATAAACCCCCTTTCCCATAGTCCGATCATCCTGGTTCGCAAACTCGTTCGAATGAATGTAGGTTTACCGTTTATACCAAATTTCATAAAAATCGGATCATGTAGCCTACAGTTTGGTAAACTGCTTTTTGACCTTATATGCCTCACAGTTGCTAAATTACAATTTTCAAAATGCGAGGCGTATCCATACTATACTCAAACTAAAGTTTGGTCGCAGTAATCATGTGAAGAATGGTTACAAACTGCATCAAATATGTTTCTGTTATAATTTAGGTGTTCACGTAATAGGGCGGCTGATATATACAATTTATTGTAGAAAATAAAGCACAACTGAGCACATGTTTCTGTTAGTATAATTTAAATTTCTCGATGCTTCTTTTATTGTTCAAGAAAATCGTGTTTATGACCTTTTTGTACGCTTTACGAACTCCTCTGAGAAATGTAAGACAAAGAATATTTCTTACAAAGCCCCTATTATAAATGTATCCCAAATACCAATATAATTTTAGTTATGATCAAAATACAAGTCACTTCGTCAACGTATAATTTGATTTATTCTCTTGCTTATAGTACATCATACATTGCCCCATACTCCCACAAATTGCATTTAACATGCATCAGTAAATCAATTCCATTAAATCAAATCATGCAAAATAAAATATCTATCACAAGGATTATGATTGGGCTCCTTAAAAAAAATATAGGCTACATCTAAAAATGAATCTTGTTTACTTGTTTTATTTTTTTAATAAATGAATATTTACACTTTTTTAAATGTGAAAATTTGTTATTGAAGTATTCAAAATTATGTTGGTTAAACTACGATTAGAAGTGACAAATTAGCATGATCAATGTGCAGCATGATGTTGACACTTGTTTTACCAAACCAACTGTGGCTCGTCACTTGCGCACTACGACTTGGACGAGTTTTCACTCCCAGAGGTGCTAACGGTTGTAAAATGTATAATGGGTAAAATCAGTATGATTATCTTGGTCATGTTTGTGCCTTACTTCTATATGAGACGTGAGTAATAGCAATATTCTTAAATAACCTAAAATAAAGTGATAAAGTATTATTAATGTTACGTATCTTTAACAAATATGGTGTTCTAGGAATTAGTAGACATACTATAGTAAATAACTCCCTTATCATCATCGTGCGTGTAATTGAATTACCTGAAAGTACAAAAATAAGTCAAATTACACTTGTAATAAATATATTTACTCTTATACTGTTTACTTACAACCACTTATCATCTGTTATATGCCTTTACCGTCTTGTGAGTGAACAGTTTAAGTGTAAATATATTTAGTACAAGTGTTATTTGACGTATTTTTTCACTTTCAGATACTGTAGTAGTAACAAATGATATTTGTAAGAGAATTTTATAAAGTTATATACTAATACAGTTGATTTAGATGCCTTACGTGTCTTTCAGAGTGGATAAAAAACACGAGACATGCTGAAAAGTCCAATTTAATAATAGTAACATGATACATGATAAGTTATTTCCTATTTTATCATTTACACAGCTTAACATTTCAAGACATATTTATAAACAGTAACTATTGAACATAGGTAGTATTGTCATTACTTGCTATTGTTTTTAGCTATTACTTAGATTAAATTTTTTTATGGTTATCAACAAGTACAGTGGTTCGGTCATGCTATAAAGGAATGTTTTAACTGTTTTTCTTTAAACGTTTGCAGATGAAGATGATATGCATCCGTTTATTCTTATCTCAGAACTCCAGAGGAAGTATAGTGAGAAGCTTGCTAAGGAAACAGAAAAGCATGGCAGAAAACCTGGTTAGTACATATACATACAATATTTATTTCTATTTTTGTGATCAATGATCTATTATTAAGGTAGAAAAATTACTATACGGATATTAGATAGTTACCTATGCTTGAATAGTAATGTTGACTGATATCATAATTAAAAAAAAACCTTTTTGTCTGGCATTCCAATCACTAAAACAAAATACAGGTCCACAAAAGATTATTACAATCTATACGTAAGCCATGTTAGAGGTAGCTATTTCTCCTAGTATGGATTTAAGTAGTTGATCACTATTGTATTATTATTATTCGGCTGTTCTCTTTAGTTATTGTTTTAAAATATTGTTAACAGTCCAACGCCATTGAAATGTTGAAATGTATACCACTTTTTATTCTATTTTGTTCGATTTGTTAGATCAACATTAATTTTACCGTAATCTGCTACACTATGATTCAATAGGCATGTGCCCAGTTTCGTTTTCTTTTCTGCAGAGTTGCGAAAAATCTAGGTTTTGTCGTGGTAAATTAATTCCACGGAGACCTAAGTCTTCGACTGTAGTGAGTTTAGCCGGTATTTCAGCAGTTTTCTTGTTTGTCCATGTTTAAATGGAGAATACCTACGTGAAAGCTATAAATCCACTAAGAGTATCGGAAGATTTGCCTGCGTTGAACCATAGATTTGTCCTTTATCTATGGTTGAACAATCGAGTATAAGACGTGCAGTTGTTTGACACTGTCGACATTGTCGAAGGAAAGATATAAAATGCTACTCTTTCAGCACCATCGTCAAAGGCCGAAAAAGAAGCACTGTATGAGTTTAACAAATCGTCCGATCAAGCAAAAATAGTTATTTCTCCAAGAGTCAGCTATGAGCTTCATCAACGTATTTTGGGAAGAGTATAAGCCAAGGAAGCGTGGGACATCTTGATCGATCAGTTTGACAAGGTCAAAGATTCCTTCAATGTCTTTAATTTTCTTAACGTGGGGATTAAACATAATACGCTCCGAGAGTGCTTTCACTAAGGAAAATAATCATCGTGAATTGACTGCTGGTCTGAAAACGCGAAACGTTCAGACAAGTGGAGATTGCCTTGAGATTCTGTTCGTTTTGAAAGTACTTCACATCCTATCAAGGCGTTTTGAGACATTCAAGTCAAGCTATCCGCTAAGTGTTAATAAAAGCGAACGAAAGCAAGAATCTTGAAATCTGTTGTCTGCACAGAATCTTCACGAACGCAATATTGTGCCAACGACGTCAAAAGGTGGTGATGTTCTTAGGGGAATTCCCCAAAAGTGACACAGGCTGTAAATACTCTACTTATACAGCTAACAGTCTTTGGCTCTGTGAAGTAGATGGAAAAGCCGCGTTTCCAGCGCGTGCTAGTGACACCAATAGTCCATTTTCTGTCAGTGAACAAACCGCAAGACTCACAAGCTCATTCGACTGATGGCTGATGGCTGTATTTCACTTATTTCCATCGATAGTGACTTCCTGGCATACCTTGTATCTTGAGTCCGTGCTTGCAGCTCAAGACATAAATCTCGGTAGCAAATGTGTGTCAACTTTTACTAAGAGTACGGTTCGTCTGACTGAAACGTCAACGTGACACTAACGTAGCAGAGTACGGCCGGGTTCTTCAGCTGATGATACAGTAATTGGACGATTTTAATTAAGTTAACGTTTGATTGAAAATTGAACACACTACCTGGAAAAGGGTGCCAGGTGACAACAAGGTGTGTGTCGTTCCAATTCAGGAATGCACGTCGCCCTCTATTAGGAAATCGAGTAAGACAAAAAGCATCTAGAGAGCTTTTATCAGGTCTGTTGACCATTTACGCCTTCTCTTAGCGGTAAGTTAATGTCGCACGGGAATTTTTACCAAACCCTTTTAGAGAAAGAAAACATTAACATACTGTATGTCTACCCTCAAGCATAATCAATATGGAAGTGTTGACAAGTATCGTTCGAGATGCTGTCAACACTCCTTTTACATCACTCCTCTGATGTCATCACATGATGTGCTCAACGACCGAAAAATTGATTTAAACAGCAGACAAGATGATTCTACGACGGTTAACTAAACTGCAATTTTTCGGGGACGACGCTGCGACGTTTGAGTCTAGAATAGGAAAAATAAGAAAAAGTCTCGAAGATTAGTTAATTTTATTTATCCTTTTTACCAAATCCTAGTTTAGTATAAACTTGGTCGTTATCTAATACATTAAAATTTTAAGAAGCCTTACAGTTACTTTCCAACGTACAAAATTCTGCCTTTGTTTAGTTGTATCGGCCACATTATAAAGTTTAATGCTACTCATAGATGTTGCCGATATTGGTCTTCGAAACAATTTATTAAACCTAAATTTCAAAATATTTATTACCAAATAAACTAGGGGTTGAATTAGGGGAGGTGCGATTGAGGCATTAGTTCAAAATTTCTCCGTGAACAGCGCTGTAGTAGAGAGCATTTTGGCAATGAAGGTTTACTAATCGCAAAAATAGTTCTGTTCATAAAATAAAATTATAAATGCCTCAAATTCAATGCTATAATTTTTTATTACAAAATTGCTATCATAACCTAACCGAACTAACCATAATGAAATAATATAAAAAAGTGTATTGATAGAAAAAATAATTCTGTTCGTTAAATAAAACTAGAAATTGCTCAATTAAAATTTTATAATGACTTAATAATCAAATTAAACTGTCATAACCGAACCAAACTAACCAAACATGCTGATAATGAAAAAATCTTAGTCAGTGTCACGAGCGGGATCCGAACCCGGGACTCTCAGCAAATTGGCCCGGCACGCTAACCACTAGACCACCGAGGCCGATGGCTCCTATCCGTATTGTTACGGTAATGGTGTTCTCTCAGCTAATGATAAGCCCACAGCTGTCGTAAGGTCATCTATACCTACCCTGAGTAAATACCATAAACGAGCACTGGACGAGGTTGAATAACAGACTGGCTTCCTAGTTTTTTTCAACATCATACAGTGTGATTTTCTTGTTACACAGGTTATCCCGTAACTCTTTGGACACATGTATTATAAATACATAAATATAATATTATATTATAAAAATAGGATTTCAAAATGGGTCTGTGGTGCCTTGTTTTCGGTCTGTCTGTAATGTGATTTTTTTTTTTAAATGTATAATTCCTAAACGGTTTAAGATACACAGCGTTGAGATTTTGCAAAAATTTTTATCTTATTAAGACTTATTTTCGTTTAAAATTATACCGACAGATCATCAACAGTTTCAAAATGGTGGCCTCTTAAAATATTTGATAACAATTTCATAGTTTTCAATGGTACCTTATTTGTTAAGAATTTATAAATAATAACAGAGAAATGTGTTCTTTTCGTAATGCATGACCACTTTTCTCCATTTAAATAATAATACTCCTTTTACATTGTCTGAATATCTTTACAATCATCTGTTATACATCAATCAGGAGTTTTAACACATAACAGCTGATTGAATAATTTATACTTGTACTGAGATATGGTCTACATTTTTGGAATGGCTCTTGTCCGTGCATGAGTAGTGGCGAGATTGTATGCAGAACACTTAACTATCCGAACAGGCAATGTTCTAACCAAATTACGAGATTATAAATTTCTCTGAAGTGTTTGCTCACATTCAGTACTAAGCAGCCAACTTAATAACATAAAAACACAATAAATAATTAGTTTAAATAGGTTTTAAGAATCGTAAGCAACTAGTAAAGACTTGCAGTAATGCTCAGACAACAATTCTTTTATAAAATAACAAAAACAATTGATTCAATCAGCTGTTATGTTTTAAAAGTAAAAGGAGTATTAGCATTGTTTAAATGGAGAAAAGTGGTCATGCATTACGAAAAGAACACATTTCTCTGTTATTATTTTTCCACTCTTAACAAATAAGTCATCATTGAAGAAAACATTACATTTACTAACTCTTTTGTCCCTTGCAATTTTTTTTTTTTTTTAAGTGAACACTTTTGTGAACAGTGGACAGTGGAATTTTAAGTGAACAGTGGAATTTGGCATCAAATGTTTTAAATGGCCGTCATCTTGAAACAGTTGTTGTTTTTTTTTGTATAATTTTAAACGAAAATAGGTCTTAATTAGCTATACATTTTTGCAAAATCTCAACGCCATCCACTGGACTTGGACATGCAGTCATGACTTAAAGTTCCGGTGTCGCCACACGTGTCCCCTGTGATTAACTACACTGGCCAATTTTTTTACAGTATTATATTTGTTTTTTGTGTTTTTCGTGTTCGTGTGCGTGTTCTAAGTGTAACGACGAATCTAACCAAATTGGTTAGATGACTTATTGACGTTTTTGTTCAACCTGAAGATGGACTTTTTAAGTCCAAAACTATAGTAGTGTACTGCTGAAGCAGGATCACTTGACGAAGCCACGTAACATAAACCATTTAGCTTAAAATCTCAACGTTGTATCTAAACCCGTTTAGGAGTTATTCATTTTTTTTACACATAAATACAGACAGATGGAAAACTAGGCACCACAGACCCATGTTCCTATGGTGAAATGTGTTTGTCTTGACGTAAGCAATAACGCTATATACATGTGTCCAGAGAGTTACGGGACACCCTGTAGATAAAATAAAGGATATCGTGAACTGGACGAAAACTCCTCAACTAACTAACCACGTGATTGATTTTAGCGAATTTCCCTATAGGGAAGTAGCTATTACCGTAGGTGGCACGGTAAGACCTAGACCCGGGACCGATTTACTTTTTCATTTTGATGTCCCCAGAGGCCAAAAACACCATTCGTTCAAATTTTTATATATGTATATATATATATATATAGACATATATATATATATATATATATATATACGTCCGTGAACGCGATAACTTGAGTAATTTTTGTCCGATTTTGATGAAATTTGGTTTAAAGGTGTAAAGCGGGATAAACTTGAATGAGTTCGCGAACCAGCACGATCGGACCATGGGAACGGGGCTTTACGGGGGGTTTTATGGGGTAAAAATTGGTTTTTCTCACTTTTGACCCTCAAAACACAAAATTTCCCGATTTCTCTTTAGACCTTTTTAAAGAGCTTAAAAAAACAAATAATTTAGTATATAAAAGTATTTTTCTTCGATTACTAGTAACGGAGAAAATTAAAAAAATTGTAAATTTAAAATTCCCATGTTATTCTTATGGAGAATATTGTCAAATGTTGTAGTTTGCTTGTTTATGGATATATTTTGATCAAACTTGGCAAATTTATTTATTTTGTACTAAGCTATCAATATTTTACTCAAAAACACACTTTATTAGTTTCCTTGTAGCAGCAAACCTAGGTACTCGTTAAACCTAATGTTATTAAAATATATTTAACTGAATATCAATTCAGACAACGAAATTCGCTTAGTCGGCAGGTTTGCTGCGGCGGGGGTATTATTAAAATGTAATATTCGTGTAAGCATGAATTCATTACTAAATCCAAATGTCCTATTTCAATCCATGTGGGAAATTCCTTTTTTTCCTGGGAAAATGTTCATTGCTTGCATCATTTACAACACGATGGTGCACTAAATATACATTAAATCATGTCCTTTATTTAGTATTTGAGAAGACATTGCACTAGATTATGTTACGAAAATGAGCAAATTATTAGACTGGTCTGCCTCGTCCAATCTGCTAGACAACAATTTCAGGTCACAGTGTTTATTCAGGTCTACACTATAAGTATGAGTGCTTTCTACACGATCAACAGAGCTAGGACATCGTACGTTGGAAAATAACAGGAAATCGAGTACCATGCATCAACGTTTGTTTAAATGAAACATATCCATTTTACCAAAACCAACAACAAGGTCAATTTTTGGACCTTCAAAAACATAGTTCAAAAACATAGTTTAACATAGTTGTGACGGCTTGTATGTAAGAAATTGTACTAATATTTTGTGGGCTTCCTGTATTTTTACCTGTTTTAAATGGAGTATTGTATGGGACACATAAAAGCCGTAAACAAATCCGTTATTATGCCAAACGAGACAAATATTGTTGAGGCATTAATATTGATTTCGACATGGTAAATATTGCCTATTTAAGATTGTATATTCTATCCAAATTCTGTTTAGAAGTACCACCATCGATACCGATGTTTTTGGCAAAGGTATTTCATGATTCTTATAAAATGATGATCTATGATGATTATTATAAAATAGAGAATTTGTGAAGTGTTACGTGAACGGAGGTTGAGATTTTGTACCTACAAAGCAATATCCTCCTAGTAATTAAAAGTTAGTAAGTAGTAAAGTAATTTCATGGTGTAGTTTTTCTCTCAACGTTAATGTTCAAAAGCCAAATTGTCATCAAAACAGCCTTAGGAATATTGTCAAGATTAGTTTTTAAAAGTTAAGTAGTTTATTCAAGTACAAGTAATAATAATATGTAAAGTTAAATGGGTAAATCATAAAACCGATGTATATTTGTTATTTCCGTGAGTACAGAAGTATGTTTATTTTATGAGCAATGTAGTGTTTTTATGATCTATGTACGATTCAGGCTGTTTGTTTATTTTACAAATAATGTCGTCTTTTCAGGCCCAGTGTACGATGGATGCAATATGTGTGTGTGGAAGTATTGCTCTCCATCCACCCAAGAGCTTAATGCGTTTAGGTTTAGCGAGAGTGACGATGCCAAACACCTGTTTGAGTGTTTTGGGGCGGTTCTTACTGATAGAGATTGTATCATCAAAATTCTTGCCAAGCGATCTGAAATACAAAGAACGATTATACTCAACCAGTTCCAACAAATGTATTCAATGGACTTTTCAGACAAACTAACCGATCGGCTTAATAAATATCGGTCGACAACGTTATTAACTAATCTGGGTACTCCTCTGCCACTATTCTTTGCTAGTCAGTTCCGCGCCGGTTTTGAAAAACTAAAAGTACAACGCACAAAGGTCGAAGGTACTTTTACAAGAACCGAAATCTTGGAATTATTAACGAGCCTTCCCAACTGTATGCTTAGAAAGGTCAAGTCCGTGTATGATGCCAAATATGTACAGACATCATTTCTTCGCGATTTGAATGAATCTTTTAAATTAATGCCTAAGAGTGAATACATTGAAGTTGTTGTCGCCTTGGCAAACACAGGAAGGGACGAAATGACTAGTTGGTTCGCGGCTTGGAATGATGCGAAAACACTACGTAGGGCTGTGAAAGACCAACACTTCAACAAAATCAAGGAAAGGTCTAAGGAGATATTTACAACACGTTCGTTGTATCAATTAAGGGATACTCTAATCATTTATGATAAGCTAAGGCAAAACGATGAAGGGTATAGCACGATTTTTGACGATTTCTATCACAAACACGAGAATGCTGTGGAGATATATTCGACTGTTTCTAAAATCGCTCTAGATCATAACACATACTTCGCAGGCGTCATAGAGAACACTTTGAAAAATGACAAAGATCCGTCCAGATTCATGAGCATCATTAGAGCTCGATGTGGTATTGATTTAAAAGATATCGCCGATGAGTATGAGAAGATCGTAGGTGAGTCTATGATTGATACATTGAATAAACATGATAATAAAAAAGGTGACGAGCTTACAAACTTGGGAAATACAGTGATGACAATACTCAATGGTAGAACAGCCGAAAAAGAATAAATTGAGGTTTATGAAATGCCCATCGAGAATAAATAAATTTGAAAACTATTACGCTATTTTTTTTCTTTCCTAATATCAATTACATTAATTGTTTTTTACTCAGAAAATATTTTGAACGTCAATTCAATTCAGTTCTGATTCCTTAATGTTGGTAGTTTAATATTTTACTCGATATTGAAAATTATCTAATTGTTTATTGCAAGGTTTAGCTTACTTGATAATCTGTGATTATCGTCTATTTAATAACAGGTGTTAATGATAGATAGTAAAATTGATGCAATAAAAAAGATAAAATTCAAGAGATGGTTTAATGAACATGATTTTCTAAGAACTGACAAAATGTAAACAAAAAGGTAAATAGAGTACTAACAATATAATAAAAAATATGATTTGTGCACAAAAGGCAGGCAGAACATAGTAATCAGAGAGAACTTCTAACAACAGGTGTCATAACTTTTGTTTAATTAGGTTTTGCATAGTAACACGTACCTACCACAAATGCATGATTAAAACTTTGGAGATGAAATATAGAGAAAGTTAACATTCTAAAATATGTTTAGAAAATAAAATTGAAAAATTCTTAATTGCTTATACATACACATACATATCGTTGATGTGAAAGTATTAGTTTTATTTTTTATTTTATTTTTTTACATGTAAATCTATACAATAGTTCTAAAAATAATGTCTGCATAATTAAAGAAAATCATTTTTGACTTTATATTGTTCACAAAAACATCAAAATTGTATGAATAATTGGAACATAACAAGAGTAATAAGCCCCTAAGGTTATAAATCTGTGCGGGAGTCTACGTATTCACTTAATTCTTATATAAACTCAGTATCAGAGGTATGCCTGACCGAAATCAGTGTTACAATCATACTAAAATTACATTAAAAAATAACCTAACGTGGCTTCTCATGGAAAAATTATAATTTTCATAAAAATATAGCAAGAAGCACTAATAGAACAAAAAGTAAATAAAAAAATACTTCTAGTAACACTTAAAACATTTGTTTACACTCATACGTGTAAATATGTGTTTAAAGTATTACTAGACTTATTTTTTATTTACTTTCCGTACATTTAATAGCACGTACAAAGCTGATCAAAAAATTTTTATTAACAATTTAAAATCATTACCTACCCAACTATGAAAAACACGATGCCCTTGATATTAAAGTAATAAAAACGATTAATATCATTATAATTAAGTGGGTAGTTACTTGTTCACTTATTAAATTGGTTCTAGTTATGCACACTTTTAATATGGTTAGGAAGTAGATTGTCAAACTTTGGTGTTAAGTACAAACTATATTTTTCTGAGAAAAGATTAATTGGGTGGCGGATCGTACATTTGACGACGCACAGGTGTAAAATAAATTAAAATAATAATAAAAAATAAATTTAAAATAAAACATATAAAAATAAAAATACAAAAATAAATAAAATAAAAATAATAAAATAAATTAAATATGAGTTTTTAGTATAAATATTATAGTGTCACTGATTATAAGAAGTGGGTAAGATTATACGCACATCGGTCATACTAACTGTTGCTGGAGAGGCCCAGTCTGTCAATTATCAAATTTACCACGTTGAGCTTATGAGGATTATTTTATTTCGAGAGTTTCGAGGCCTACCTGTTATGTTGAAAGCTTTTGTTTACAATGTCAAATCGCCAAATAAAGCAAATTATTTCTATTTGGTAAACATCTCCTGTTTATTCTAAATGCACCTAATAAACCTTTCATACGGTTAAGCAACCCATAATAGAAATGTCTACAATAAACTTATTTAAAAAACTGATGATACATAACATTTTATGTTGACCAGCATTGTTGGGACCGGGTCACATTATTAGTCCGAGTTTGCTATAAATTACAAAATATTAGGAAAATCTGTTTCCCGAGGTTAGGTAATTTAACTAATAATATTTAGATAAATCAACTGACCAGGGTTTTATTTACTGACCGAGAGGAAAATGAAATACGTTTCTATAAGTTACAGGTATTGATAATTACATATACCAGCATTGCAATTGTTACAACTATTCATTATTCTATCAACTAGCTTTTTTATTCAATACCAATATTTTTACCCTCGCCAGTACTTCAGAAAGAAATTTTGACACTCACTGTTTCAAAGTGTTTACTTTTAATCCTATAGTAAGAAGGATGATTAGGCATATTAAATACTAAAGTGATGATACGTACTCTCTTGAGTGGTTAGCTTAACCACATTCAAACTTTACTAAATGCTATAGGGGTGTTACAAGAGCGTTACATGTTCCCATGCGATGTATAATCACAATGGCCTGAAGCATAGAGTTGTAGATTCGCTGGCATCACCATTCGGGATATATGAAGTTAATCCAAAATATCCAGTCATAGAAAAGTAGCTTCTAATTTTAGTATACTTTAAGTTACTGTGTAGTGGCAATTCACATGTAGTTTAAATAAGTCAAAAAATTAAACCCAAAACTAAAATGGGTTTGGACCATTTGCTCTAAAAGTGTCTGAGTACACTTATACCATAACTACTAAAAAAAACTCTCAGCCTTGGAAAATGAAAAATCACTTTTTATGTAGTGTTAAAATTTGTACCTACGAACGTTTGATAAAGTAGCCGTTTTAGTTCAGTTCTTAGATTTGAAAATTTTCACATAACATCATTTTTTACTTTCATAACAGCATAGTTTTACTCATAACAACACGGGTAACGTAACACTGAGGTTCAAGGATTGAGGGAGAAGAAGTAAAATTTGATGATTCGAACTTCAACTAATCAGCTGTTCAGGCCAATTTAATTGTTGAGTGGTGCAATTAGTGTTAGGTACATGTTTCGTTGCATCACTGTCAGTGGCAATGATACGTTATAAACGAAAACATAACCTTTTAAAAGTTATGAGTAGGCACGATTACTGGAAAAATACCGGTATGGATCATAAACATAAACAAATGACGTTTTTGGCCCGAAAATAAACATTATTTTAACATTGCTTAAATGGAACTGCCAAAACATATTGTCATTTGTTTATGTTTATGATCCATACCGGTATTTTTTTTAGTAATCGTGTGAGTAGGTAACGATTTTTAATAATTGAACACTGTCGTGGGTAAAGTAGTGTAAGCAACTCGCGTAAACAGTGTTAACGACACTCGTAGAAGTTTTTAAGGCACTCGCCAAGGCCCGTACCTTAAATTTTGTACTCGTATCGTTAACACTATCTTTACGCAATCGTTGCGTTTACTATAAAGACGGTATACGATATATCAAATAGGTTGAAAATGGTGTGGATGGAAATACAGCGCTTGGGAATAAGTGTCTGATGAAAAAAATGAAAGAAATACTGATTTATAAATTAACAAGTAAACTTATACTTCGCGTATACATATCGAAGATTGTTTTCAAAACACCAAAAGCACCAAAAGGACCAAAAGTAGGGTTCTCTTAATTTCCGATAGGGTCTGATGGGAAAAATCTGACACCATTATATATTACCCTATACTTATTACGGTATAAATAAAATAGTAGAAAGACACATTTGTAATATTCGTATAAAGTATATTTACAACTAAAAGCTGTGTACATATTTTAAAATGTGGTATGAAATGTGTGGAACAATTTTATTTTTAAATAGCTCGACATTTGTCGAACAGAATGTGCAGTAACTTAAACAGCTCTAGTTATAGCCTTGGAGTATAAAAAATAAATGAGTTAAGATTATTATAATGTGGTGAGATTAATGGCTAATTCCATGTAAAATGGATTACATTAATGGTTTAGCAAAATGTGATATGCTAAATCCAGGATTAAAGAGGACTGGTAAAGTTAAATTTGTTAATGAGGGAATGCGACACAGCCCGCATGATCTCAATGATAATTTGTAAATGCTATTTTGTGGTTGGTAATAAATTGTGAGATTTGCTGTTGAAGTCATTTACCGCTGTGTTTTAACATAAATATAAATTATTTAGATTATAACCCGTTTCATTCATTTAACTAAGCTATTTATATTTGTTTTGTTTGTTCCTGAAGAAGGCTAATGCCGAAATATAAAACATTTTTTTGTTAAAAGTGTATGAATAGTTTTATAACAATATATATTTTAAATAGTTATAATTTTTTAATTGTGATTTTATCATCGTGTGGGCGTTGAAATTAAGTACTGTAGTGTATGATACACAAGTTTTTATTGTGCAAAATATTACCATCGTTGTATTAGTCAACATTTGCAGCTATCTCTCTCTAATATTGAATGTAAGCCCTACTACTAATAGTTGTTGTTTACAATAAAAGATAGCTAATGTCAAAAAAATTAGTGTAGACTTGTAAACCTACCGAAGGGATTTGTGAACCAACCTTATCCTTATCACAAACCTCACGCAAGGCTCGAATTCGTGCAACAGTTACTTTTCGTTTGGCCAAATAATGTAATCTACCTACTAGCCATTTGTAAACAAGTTTTTATGCTTTTAACAGTTAGTTGTCATAAACAAACTATTATAAGAGTAATGGAATTGATTTTTAAAATAGTTAAGGCTAATATCTCCATACTGCCAGTTTTACCGATTTGCATCTGAGCACTGATAGAATCATGTGCCATCTCTGTATGTCATTGATCAATCATGTGCTATCGCAAAAAAAAAACAATTACTTGATTTTATAGCTTTTGTATAAAACAACCCTATGAATCTGGGAGCCTTAGATTGTTTTGTTTAAATTAACTTTGAAATTTAAACCTGCAAATACACTAGAGTTGAGCTAAGCTTAGTGAGTTTTATTAAGTTTCGTAAATCCCGAGAGAGTAACAAGAATCGTGTCCAATTTGTGAAATTGGGTAAGAAATGTACTCCTTTACCTCGAGGAGATTCACTGTCGGAGCATAATCCAAACAGTTAAACATGGGGATATAGTGCAAAATAAATACTGAATACTGATATTTGAGGTAAGTACTTTATATTTTTATCCTTATTATTTTTAATAAATTGACTGTAAAAGTTAATATAAATATCAGTAACCATCAAGTATGAAACAATTTTAA